AATAAAAGCCACCCGCCTACTAAAAACCGGGTAAAAGAAGATGGAATTAAAATTCGCGTCTTTCTGCTGACGAGTAGTTGGATGCTCCTCCCCTGTTCACTGTGATAAATGACCAACACGAATCTGTGGCAAAAGTGGAAATCTTTGAACGCATGCTCCTTGGGTTCTTAGACGGGGCAACACCAATACTCTTTGATTTAAAACTGACGGCATACTCCATTTGTGTGAAAAGTAGGGACCGTTTTCAAAGTTTGTCAATATTCATTGTACTGTAAGCAACAGACACAAACAGAAAACAAACAAACAAAAACCAGATAAACAAACATAAAACCTTAATTGTGTCTGAAAAAAGGCCTGGATTTGTCTAGATTTTTCACACAGAACTAAGTCTGGTATTCTAGTTTTCCAGGAGGGGGGCGTTCAATGATGGCTGTTTTCCTTTTAAACATATTTTTTTTTAAATGTTCATCTTTTGGGATGCCTGAGTGGCTCAGTCGTTAAGCGTCTGCCTTTGGCTCGGGTCATGATCCCAGGGTCCTGGGATTGAGCCCAGCATTGGGCTCCCCACTCCGCGGGAAGCCTGCTTCTCCCTCTCCCACTGCCCCCTGCTCGTGTTCCCTCTCTCGCTGTGTCTCTGTCAAATAAATAAATAAAATCTTTAAAAAAATTTTTTTCATCTTTTTTGGTGACTAACAAAACAAAATAAAATTAAATTAAAATATTTTCATCTTTTTAAAAATTGTTGTGATCCTTTTATTTTTTGAGGAGGGGGAGTGTTACCAGTCCTACTGGCATGAACATGTTGTTCTTTCATAGACACATGGAAATTCTTATTTTCACTAACTTACTTTTTCTTTCCATGGAAGATTCTTTGGAAACGTAGCATCTCATTTGGAATAGCAGTGAGTGGTGAAAATCCGTTTTTAGCATTTTGCCCATCATTTCTGCAAGACCAATATTCTACTCTGGAAAGATGGTACTCACTGTGTCCTCAAAAAGCAGTCCATATTCCTTAAAATAGTTCTAGGTTACCAGTCTCAAGTTACTCTTTATTCTTACAAGATGGAAAGGGTTAATGATTTGTCTCTGTTTTCCCCGCGAGTCTTTCCAATTCAGTTTCCAGGTGTCTATAACTGGCCCTTCACAAACAAAATACTGCAAGAGCTACTGGTCTTCCATAATCTGTTTTCTCCCTTTACTTATAATTTGGATTATAAATTCAGTAAGAAATCTATCACTAATCTCACCAGCAACGAATGGAAAATGGTCAAATGACGCACAGCTTTGAGCTCCTCAGTGCATAATTTAGATCGAGTGCGTCAGTTGATTGGAATATTCTGACCTTTTCCCCTTTAAAAAGTATATTAGGGGAAAATAGGTTTGGATGACATTCTATGTTTAAAATATTCTGCATTAACAATTTAGGCAACTTCTTTGGTAAAGAGAATGGAAAGTTGGCAGGGAACACCAATACATATACTACAAACCATGGCAAAATCCCCAAAGTCTATTTTACACACCGTCTACATATGGACATGCAGTATGTTATAGAGATGGTTTCATGAAATGCCCAACATTAGAGGAAATGTGTGTTTTTTCTAAGTGACAAGTAATAAGTCATTCTCTGCATATATTACGAAAAAGAACATTAGAAGCTGGATACTGTTGTTTTTGTGTGTGTGAAAGTCTGTTTGATCTGTATAGAGCTGCAGTAAATACTCAGTACATTTTTTTGGTTAAAAGTTTACTTCTAAATGAACAAAAGTAAACCACAGAATTAAAAATTAGCTGGAAATTTAGAATTATGTAGGCAATTGATCCTCTCTTTTAAGTGTAAAAATCTTTCAAACCACATCATTTAGTATTTTAAATATATGTGCAGACTGTGGGTATGTGTGTGTATATTTTAGCTAATATCTTCATATTTTCAGAAGTAGAGACTTATCTTTGACTTGGAAAGAAATCTGTTAAGCAATAAATAAAATTAGACAATGTGGGGCGCCTGGATAGCTCAGTCAGTGAAGCATCTGCCTTCGGCTCAGGTCATGATCCCAGGGTCCCTGGGATCAAGTCCCACATCAGGCTCCCTGCTTCTCACGTCAGAGGGAGTCTGCTTTTCCCTCCCCCTCTGCCTGCTTCTCCCCTTGCTTGTGCTCTCTCTCTCTATGTAAAAAAAAAAAAAAAAAATCTTTAAAAACAATTAGACAACGCATCATCTTAAATCAATTATAAATGCACATCTCTGCTTGCGTGTGTGTATGTTTAATCTGTTTAAGACTTAGTTCGTTGGCACGTCAAACCCTTAGTAATATTCACTTTGTTTCAGTTGCTTGTTGGGAGTCATATATTTTCTGAAAAAGATAGCTTTTTGTTTTGTTGTGATGTTCCGTTGAAGATGTGATGAAGAATCTCTCTTCATAGACCAACTGTAGGCTCTTGTATAATGATCCCTTTTGCTAGGCGGTGTGACACAACAAAACAAATAGTTCCTGTATTACATATATGTGTATATTTCATTATCCAGTGAAATTAATATGCATGTCTGAAACAGTCTGTTACACACCTACATGCAGAACACATGCAGAAAACATACAGAAATGCAGAGTGTAAAAGAAACACAGAGGCACGTGAATGGAAGCACAATGGAAATACTTCCTTTTTCCTGTGCTTTGGAGGATGGCTGAGAATTAAATAAATAAATAAATTAATTAATTAATTAATTAATAAACTAATGATAAATGCCATCAGTGTCCCTACTTCTATAAACATCATTGGCCAGGTAAAATTGCTAACCTCCGAAGCAGCATCAAGTTCATGCGGAATGGGAATGGAGGTATAGACTGATTTTTTCCTTCCAGTTTGCATTGTCCATAAATGAAAAAGCTTTAACTTCCTAACATAGCATCAATAAATTAGAAAAGTCAAGTAAGTAGGAAATTCAATCTTCTACCTGTACAATATTTTATTTTATATTCCAAGATGCTTTTACCTACATCGGTTATTTTGTATCTGCTTTCTTAGGTAGGTGATATAGGTATTATCAGCATCCCAGACATGAGGTCGTGTAAGGGGTAGAAACATAAAGTAGAGCAATGTAACTATGGCGGCTGAATGTTCTAACAAGCCGGTGGCCTTGACAGGGCAGGTAACATCTCTTGTCTTCAGAGAAGAAAACGGAGGTTGTGTGTACAGTTAGGTGGTATGGCCATAGGTGGCCGGGCTAGGATCTAGTCTTCTTGGGGCCAACCTAATTTCTGTTTTTCCAGGGCTTACCTAAATTCCACATTTTTCTGAAAGCGTAGAATTTATGTTAATCAAAGATAAACTGGCTATTCCTCAGAATCTTTCAGATTCTCAATGTGCGTAAGTATCTCCAAGAGGGGCACCTGAGTGGCTCAGTTGGTTAAGCATCTGCGTTTGGCTCAGGTTCATGATCTTAGGGTCCTGGGATGGAGCCTCATCTCAGGCTCCCTGCTCAGCGGGGAGTCTGCTTCTCTCTCTCCCTCTGCTCCCCCCCATTTCCAGGCTATGCTTTCTCTCTCTCTCTCTCTCTCAAATAAATACGTTCTGAAATTCTGAGCAGACATACATCTCAAGGGGACGCTGTTTAACCCACACCTGCCAAAAAATCTTTTTGTTGGAAGGAAAGTTTCATCTACTAAAAATAAAGCTTGAAAATTTTAGGTTTAGAAAGGGGAGCAGTAACAACTTCTTACATTATCATGTAGCAAAACGAAAATAAGAAGGATCCACTAAACCAAATAAAGAAACGGAAGAGACATCGTTGAATATAAGTTGATTCCTGTTTTGCATAAAAGTATAAAGAGAAATGTAAATGCTTTTTGTTTTCATATAGTTGGATTATTATAATATACATATTTATATTTGTACCTTGAACTTCTCACTCAAATATTATGACAACTTCGCCATGACAGTTGATGTAAATCTGCAAAATTTGCTTAATTTCATTTATTGATTTATTTTTTACAAAGTGTTCTTAATTTTTTTTTTGAGGGTGGGAGGGCAGAGGGAGAGGGAGAGACAGAATCTTGAGTAGGCTCTACACCCAGCAGAGCCCAAGGAGGGGCTGGATCTCACAACCCTGAGATCATGAGCTGAACCAAAATCAAGAGTCGGACGCTTCACTGACTGAGCTACGCAGGTGCCCCAAAATATTCTTAATTTTACAGAAGTGCCATGATCTTTATTTTTATGTAGTTATTATTCAGCTCATTTTATTAATATTGTATAGAATCAATGTGTATCCAAGTGACGGCTTGTATAAAATCAAAGACATCTCTCCCACTTCCTTCCCGACCATTTGCTTCGGTCTCTCATTCTCTATAGAAGCATCCACAGTGTTAGATTCTTTTTCTTTTTCTCTCTTTTTAAATTTCTTGGTGATTATCCCATGACTTTAGGTGATATACCCTTATTTCATCATTTTGTGGGATTTTAGCCAGCCACTGTTGGGCTAATTTAATAATCTCTTCTGAATGGCAAGAAAAAGCACATCTAACTCCACTGCAGAAAAGCTGCTAATTCCAAACAAAAGAAGCTGTACATCACCATTTCAAATGAGGCAAATTCCTTTTTTTTTTTTTTTTTTTGAGACAAAATCCTCTTTGGAAGATACATCTCTAATGTAGAGAGAAACAAATCGACCTTACTTGTAACCACCCAAGCAGTTAAAAGCTAGGATAAGCTGTGAATTATACATTAAATGTTGTTGATAAACTTTCTAGATGGGTTTGTGTGGGGGGTTTGTGTGAACGAGAGGAAACAGAATCAAGCTTTTAAAAAACACGACACAAGTGCCATTCTCAGATTTTGTTTGGCTTCCAGAACCTGGATAACAATTACACTGTGGCAGATTATACGTGCTATCAATCTCATATCCATTCCAAGTTTAAACTTCCAGCCAAACATGGCAAAGCATAAATGTAATTGCTTTCCAAGCCTTAAACCTTATTGGGTTGAAATGAAGAAGGGGGAGGAAAAAGTCTTTAATTTTTGTTTTATATACACCAGGAGGAAAAGAGAAATCTTTCATCTGAAATCATTCTGACATTTTGACAATGTAAAAAGTGAGGTCTTCAGATGCACGACTGGATTCCTTTTTGGTAAACTGAAGGTTTACACATGTTCAAATGGCTGAGAGTCTCAGCAATTCTCTTGGTCACTTGGATTTTCACTGTACTCTGATGACAGAAACCAAGCTTCTCCCTATGCTTAAAGAACTTAGGCACTGAATTTCCTCGAAATTTCTAGATTTCCTTTCTTTTTTTTTTTTTTTTTTCCACCAACCACAACAGAAGCTTTTCACAGCCATTCCAACCTCTTTATTTGGATCTTCTTGGAGGAGAAGCTTCACATCTTGAGAATGTCTAGTCTGGATGGAGCTAGAAGGGAGAAAGATAAATTAGAACAGGATGCTACCCATTACTCAGGAGAAGGAGAAGACTCTCAAATTAAAAACAACAACAGCAATAACATCTTAATATTGCAGAACACAATGGTTTAAAACCAATATTTTAAATAAAGCTTTTTCATTATATTTATTTTCCTTCCGCATAACATATTTGTGGTTTTATAGCTCTGTTCTTAGTCTTAATTCAGTTTCCTCCTGTGATTTCTTCCTCTACTTTAATTGTTAAGAATTTCATGTCAGGAAAAACTACCCAGGTCTTGGAAATAGGTGAGCATTTTTCACTGATTTGCCATTTGATTTGACCAGATCACAACTTTGAACGTTGAATATAAATGTTTCCTGTTCACTGCAATCCAAATTATTTTTGTCTATTAGAGAATATACATCTCCGTGGGTCAAATTCTCATTGGAACTGCTTTTAACATCTTACTGGGTTCCTCATTAATTAATAAGTTGAAGAAAATCTTTCATAGTGTTTACCGTATGTAAGTCACACTTTTGAGTTTTGGAAAACATTTGTACCTTGACTGTTGTCACTAATGGAGGCTCCGTATGTCTCGAAGATTAGAAGTTATTTTATAAGCAGTCGATTCCAAGATATGTGCAAATCATACAAAACTGAATGTTTCTTACAGCTGGGAATCAGCAATTCTTGTCTTTCAAGGAAATGGTAGTTTAACAGAGGTTATATTTGGAAGCAATGTAAATCTTAATTTGACTCTCCAGGGAAAATGCAAAAAGGAAAGGAATGCCTTCCTAATGCACAGCTAAACTTTTAAATATCATTTCTTTTTCTTTTTTTTTTAAGATTTGTTTTACCCATTCATTTGAGAAAGAGAAAGAGAGAGCACAAGCTGGGGGTAGAGGCAGAAGGAGAGGGGGAAGCAGACTCCCTGCTGAGTGGGGGGAGCCAGACCCAGGGCTGGATCCCAGGACCCTGAGATCATGACCTGAGCAGGTCCTTAACCAGCTGAGCCACCGAGGCACCCCCTCATCTATTTTTCTATCTCTGCCCCATATGCCAGACTGGGGACCCCTGCTAATACACTCAATACCATGAATGAATAGAAGTTTCAAGAAACCGCCATTGCCCCTCACCATGGATCAACATGCATGCTGCTGAGAACACCAAGTCCCATCATACCTGGGAAAGCCATTATCTCCTGGAATTTGCAATGGGACTTCCCACTCGGAATGGTGAGTTACTTTGCACCCCTAGAGGAGGGAGAACTACTCAATCTCCCCTGGGATCTCATTGCCCTGCCGCCAGCCGGACCTGTTGAAATGCACTCTGCCTGGAATGGAGCACGCACCATTGAAAAAGAGGAGAAGGCAGGGGTTCTGGAGTGGCATATCCGGCTCCCAGTCCATCTCCTCACACCCGACAGTGCTAACTCTTACCCTGCATACCTGTGTGGGAAGTACAACCAGGTCAGGTTCCTGAAGCTGCCAGCCTCTGTCTCCTCCAGACCAGATGGGCATACTCCCGTTTCTTCTGGTACAATCATTTGGCTGTTGTCTTTATTCCCTCCACTGACCTAGTGGCCATTAGAGGACACACAGAAGCCCTTATTAAATTCTCCCAACAAGTCCTAAATAATAGTTGACAAAGCCTGTCCTTACTGAACACTGGAATATCTCTAATGGGCAAAGCTGTCCTCCAAAACAGAATAGCCTTGGACATTATCACTGCCTCTCCAAGAGTTCCCTGTGGCAATATCCAGGGTTGTGTGTTCAGACCTGATGAGTTTGCTAAGGTATCATCTTTATTAAATCACATGAGGTCACAAGTGAACGCCCTGAGGGATCTGACCCCCCAGCAGAGGGGACTTCATAAATCAGTGATTTGGATTATAGGGCTCTTGGCGGGGGGGGAAAAAAAAAGTACTTATTTTGGGAATCATTCTCTTAAGCTGTGTTTTCTTTTGCCCGTGCCTCTAAGGTTACTGTGCATTTGGCTCCGATGAAGCCAGACCGCCACCAAACGAGCCACCTCGTGTTAACAAAACTCCTTGCTGATTGCTCGGGGCGCATTGTGGAAGAGGGGCGCATCAGAGATTCTAGGAGCTAGTCACCAGGAGTGTGGAAGGAGGTCACAGAGAGGACATGACCGCGGGGTGACCCGGGAGCTGGGTTCGGGCCACCAGGGGTTCCTCACCCCTCCCTGTCCTTGAAATGTACAATGTATATTCCACCCCCTGTGATGACAGCAGGAACTGTTTCAAGGACACAGCCTTGAGAGAGATGATATACGTGATGGAATCCCTTTAAGGCCTCTGTAGAAAAGTTTCAGATGGTGGTGCGGAGATCTACTCTGGCCGCAAAGGAGATGAGTCTTGTAAGTTAAGTCCCCTTGCTGCTTAAAACCACCACCTGCCCATGTGGAGTGGCCTGCCCCCGTCTTCTGTCTCTCCTGGCCGTCCCTCCATGCGCGGGGCCAGTTTGGGAACCAACACTGTCTTCTTCCATCCTCCACCTCTTCCTCCTCCCTTCTCTGGGTTCAAGCCCAAGGAACAGCAGCAGGACAATTTAGAATTCAAGAACCAGCTCCAGCATCCCATGTTCTAGGTGCATCTCTCAAACTTAGAAGCTGTGAACCTTTAAGAGAGCTGCTTAACTGTTCTCGGCCTCAGTTTCCTCTTTGGTAAAAAGGGGATGATGATGATCGTCATCATCGTACTGTCAGGAGGGTTTAATCAGCTGATAAATGTAAGTTCACTTTGACAATGCACTCCATGCGTCGCACTTTGCAGGGGAGTTGTGTGGCTTAGGGCCCTTCGACTAATAAAGAGCAGACAGGAATGTATTTTATTTAAATTACCTTCTGACGTTAACTCTCTGAATATCTGACTCTATGAGGCATCTTCCACATTCATCCGGATATTATTACTGACTCCACAATAAAATCTTGGAGGATTTTCTCCTTATCTCCGGCTCTTCACAAGTCCTACCTTTTGGCTTTGGTTCTTTCATTTATATTTGAAATAAACAGAGTTTCAGTCACGTTGTCCCTCGCATTTCAAGTGGTCACCATTAACTTCTCTGCCAGTACTTTGCTATTTCTCTGCTCCTTGCACTGTGCTCCCAGGAACCTTTGAACTTCCTTGAATCAAACATGTGTCACGTTTATTACCATTGCTTTGTTGCATTCTCAGTAAGTCTAGCTGTGGTTGGCTAGGGTGGGGACTTTGTTTGCTCATCTTTCTGTCCGTCTGAGGCCTTAGTAAAATATCTGTCATGTAGCATGTACTCAGTGAATGTTTGCAGATTGAATACATAGAGGAAAAGGGGAATGAATGTGTCGCTGAATCACTAGGATTTCTATTTAGTGCCTGTGAAAATTCCACCCTCTCTTTGATGTCTCGTTGGAGTATCACTTAGTGAATGAAGCCCTCCTTGATTATCCCAGGCTTGCGAATATTTTTTTTCTCCTAAAAATTGCTCCAGGATTAGAATTCAGCTACTACTACTATTACTCTCCCTTCTCCTCCTACCTCTCCTCCTGCTCCCCCATTATTATTATTATTATTATTATTAAAAATTATCTGTTTTGAATTGTTGCTAAGTCTTGAGGGTAAGGACAATATGATACAATTCTGTACCACCATCAAATCCTCACCCAGCATTAGATTCATGTTAGACACTTAGTAAACTCAAGCTTAGGGAAGGCTATTGGCACTTTTCCTAAAAATTCATCATGGGGGCAAGGAGCCTCCCTGAAACTGAGAAGGCAAGAACCCCAGGGACCTCCAGGGAGTTTGTGGTCAAATGAACCTGTTTGGGCTTCAGAAGAGACGCATGAGTGGCTGGCCATCACTGTTGCCCTTTTGGGTTTCCATGTTGGATGCAACAATGACTATAAATAACTCGATTCTTAGAAAAGACAGAGGAAGAGGGCCAGTGCAGAAGTAGGGGAAGCAGGGACATGCCGATGCTAAGTGCAGCCAGAAACACAGGCAGGAAACACCAGAAAACAAGTGACTGGGGATGGAAGCAGATGTGTAGGGAGCCTCACCGAATGAGAAAGAAAAAGCGATGTTTGGCCATAGGAACGTGTGTTTTGCAATGTTGTTGCACTTTTGAAAGCCTTTGTTGTTATGAACAAATATACTTAAATGGCCTAAAAACAGAATGACGCCCAGGGATTAAGGTTGGGAAGGAGTCTCCCAGCAGCTTGCTGGGTCTCTTTTCCTTCCTTGGGTTTTGATTGTTTTGCTTTCAACCAAAGAATAAAAGAGAATAGCAGGCAAGTTTCCAAGGGTTTGGAACATTGTAGGACACCCCCATTACGATTAATTACAATATACTTTCTATATTTCTTTTTTAAGAGAAGTGTTGGATTAGGAAATGTACAGGCTCATCAACCAAAGACAGAATGCTGGCTACCATTCGGACCTCACAGGATATTTTTGGAAAAAAATCCTGGAACGGTGAATGGAAAAAGGACAATCTCAGAGCAAGGCCCACCATTGAAAAGCAATCCACAGGCACGTTTGATTCTGAAATCCCAACTCAGGTTTTTAAACTTGGAAAAATGTATTTTCTTTTCCTCTTGGACTGTGTCAATCATTTGTAAGACATCAGAAATTAATTAACCTTTTTATTTTCAAAATTTTCTGAAATTATGAAAAGAGAACTGAATAGAATAATAACAGTCCTGAGATCTGGCAGAAGATAAAACATGGCTTTAAAAACCTTAAGATCCTTGAAGAAAAATGCCAACATTAAAACAAAGCCTAGATGAGGGTCAAGACATGATCTCTCAGAGATAAACAATTTCATGGATTTGACTGCCCTACTATTCATCATTTTCTTGGGTTGTGCTTGTAAAGTAATGATATTATGATACCGTAAAACCATGTCAGCTTTGCAACAAGATATGATTTTTTTTAGAAATAAGTTAAGAATGAAGTCGTTCCATGTTTCGGTACTTTATTTGGCACAAATGACATGTGCAAGTCCTTTGAATTTTACCTATCATTTCATGTTTCAGTATATTTATCACTGAGTACCCATTGGTGCTATTGTTACATAATTGGAGTAGACTTGTAGACATGTGTTCCTTCTAGACCTTACAAGATTTCTCGTGCATCGATGCTGATTTCAAAGCTTTCATTGAATTTGGTTAGAAATGTAAAGTTTCAACATCATCACCATCACGATTATAATTACTTTCTTTAAAAAGTTGAGAGCAGCTCAATATAAAAAGAACATTCGTGAAATAACTCTGAGAAAGTTGAAGTCATCCCTTTGGGTCCCGCTTGGGATGTTTCTTTTTTGAGATGCTGGCTGTAACAATATATTCTTTGGTTGTTATTATTCTGTTTATTTCTTTGCACTTTAATATATAGGGAGGCTGAGGTCCATTGACCTCTTTGTCTACTCTTAAAATAGCTTCTTTATAATGCTTTTAAAGTGAGAAGCAATAGAAGTAATATAATGGGAAAAGGATGTGATATGGGGCCAGACAGACCTGGAAGCAAAGCCCAGTACTGTCTTTTAACAACTATGTCACCTCTCTGAACCCTTTGTTTGTTCATCCATGAAATTGAAATATTAAGACTGACCCTGCCTGTGATGTTTCAAGGGTTTAAATGTAGGTAGGTCTTTAGTATAAATATTGGCTAGTATGAAACAGTATCTCATTTGTTTTGCCCTAACAGTTGACTGATTAGGTCGACCTACTGCCCCATATGACTCCATTATGATTATGCCCTATCTAGGGCCTCCTGCAGATGAAATCATACATGAAGTCATCAAACATTCTTTTCTTACAGATGGATTTCCTCTAGAGATGTATGGATATGCCCAGCTCCACACTGGTACCTTCAACTGCTGGTAGAATAAAGGTCAGTCTCATTTTATTAAAATAATAAAAAATATAATCTAGAAACAATTTATGCTTTCCCCACCCCCTCTTTCCCCAGAAAAGATGAAAACTGTTGCCAAACTGGTGGTATTGTTCACAGGTCATGGTTGTGGGGTGGGGGAACTCTCCAGAAGACATTTTCCACACAATGGAATTACTTTTATTATTTTCAAAATGAAACACAAGATCTGCATTATTCCAGCAAAATTTTTTAGATAGAAATATTTAACCCATTAATTGAATGGATAGTTTTGACCTTTGCATAAATCTGATGAAAAATTATGTTGTGTGCTTGAATTTTCAATTCAAAATGAGGCAAAGGGATCATTTATATCTAAACCTGTATTGTACATCAGCAAACTTCAGTAAGAACTATGCATATCTAAAGTAGTATAATTTAATGCATTTTCTAGCATATATTATATGGTTCTTGAAAAATCAAAGTATTGAAAATTGCCCAGCAACTATAAATACCTGTAGGATTATCACAAAGAAATAACATTTCCCCCCTCAATTTAATAATAATAAGTTAATTGGTATCAGATGTCACCCTCAACAAGCATAACTGATATTTTTTTAATTTGTCTTTTAATGATTCAAAGAAAAATGAAAATATACTTGCCTCTCTAATT